ATATGTAATTTCTTTTTTTTTTTCTTCTTTTTTCTTTACATGTTGGTAATGGTAATGGAAGGGTTAAGAAATATTAAAAAGAGATAAAGAAAAGAAAATAGATCAAGTGATAACATTTGTGATGACATAGATGATGAAACAAATAATCATGGTGACAATTTTAATGATGATAGCGATGATAATGATGATGACGACGAAGACAATGATGACGATTACGATGATGATACGATAATGATGGTGGTGATGGTGATTAAAGACATGATGATGATGATGATGATGATGATGATGATGATGAATATGGAAGTGATGATGGAGAGCTTCCTGATTCCATGATGACGTCGAGGATAACGACAATGCTGAAGTTAACAAGTATACCGTTGTCGATTTATTCAGTGATTAACTTAAACATTTCGTTCGAATATGATATAAAGTGGACACCGAATGATTCAAACATTTTGACACGTAGATTCACCATAATATGCATATGAATACATACATTATTTACAACCTCGAATGACATAATCCATTAATCTGCCTTAGCCGAAAGTCTATTTCCGTATTGGTTTGCTTTTTATTATGCTTCTATATTTATTATTTCCGCTCTTTCTAAATTAGTCAAAAAATTAACTCTATTGCATGTGCATATATTGTATGTAATGTCAGATCGTTCCAACTCATTAATTGATGAGCTAGCTGGCATAGTTTGGTCATGACTGGTACACTGTCTGCGTCATAGTATCATGTTATTGGGCACCACTCTGTTTATTTATACCTGTATGTAAGGTCCGACCTCCATAAGCTACCATGTGACCTCTTGTGGTACATCCCATGGCGTGTTACATGTACATGTAGGAAACTGCATGGGCGTATGTACGGGTCTTATTTTGTTCGGGGGCTAATGTTCTACACCAAAATATATTAATCTTCAAGTTTCTAAATTTCGCGAAACTAAAAAGGAAAAAATTACCCTTTCACCATCATCACTAGGTTATTTTGTCATATAACTTTTTTGATGGTTAAACTTCTGTCATATAGAAGCGAGATATATAACAAACAAAAGAGGATCATCTTGTTTCCCGAATATGAGGGGGCAATTGACCATATACTGGTAATCTTTAAACTCTCAGGAGGGCTGCTTACCCCTAAAGGCCCGGCCTTTATTACGGCTGTATGCGCCGTATCTTCATTAGTGTTTTCCGATATGTAAAAGAACTGGTTATAAAAGACGTTTGATGTATAGTTTACATCTTCTTGAACTTTATTGATCAATCTAAAGAGTCATAGAGATTGGTCCATAAAGCTCTGGGAAGATATAAACTTTCTTGATAAAAAATAAATCATGTTGTCACAATTATTTCACAAAAAGAAGTACGGAAAAATTATTTCAATTTTATGGGCAACAGTCTGTAATGCCTACCTGATCGTATTAAAGTAAGATTCGGTTGAAAATGATAAAACCTATCCTCACTGCTCCTCTTATTATTAACCCCTTGAGTTCTGAATTCTCTCATTCCCATAGGCTTAATGCATATATCATTTACAACCATTTATCAATGGGTAAACTTTTCAAGTAGCATTAATGATGATTTTTTTAAATCCTTCTTCAAATAAAATTGACAACTCTAGATTGTCTAATTTTAAAGCACTTTGTATCGCATAATATGGAAATATATTGAAGGAAAAACAGATTGTCGCCAGGTCCCCGTACATTTTGTTTGTTTGTTTGTTTTATTGTTCCAGATTAAAACATTAAGATGGTCTCATGCATGATATTTATTAGGAGAATTCATATTAAACAATGATAGACATGTAACATAGAGAAATGGTAATGTGAAATATGGGGAACATGTAAGAAGCCTCTTACATTAAAGGTACCCGAATAAAATACCCCCAAACTTACTGAATTCAACAGCAATAAAGAAAGACGTTAATTTGTTATGTTTATTTTAATCCCTGACATATCAGTACTATAATTGAAATATATTAAAAGTGTAATTATATGTGACTCCAAGTGATGTTCTTCAGGTAAGGACCATTCGAAGATGTCGACAATCAGATAAGGCGCGAATGCTCAGTCGGTAGAGAAGTGGTCTCGTAATCCGGTGACCCGGGTTCGAAACCAAGTCGATGCGCTAGTGCCCTTTGGTAAGGCATTAACCCTCATTACCAGGTCCCTCGGAGAGGACCTTAAGCCGTCGGCCGTCTGGTTGCTTACTTACAAGCATTTATGCTTTCTTAGCAGTCAGGTAAAAAAAAAATAACAACCAACCACATAACAAATATTCCCAAATGGAAATGGATATACCTGGAGTAGGAAGGCGGAGGTTCCCTCCAAAAATTATTGTGAGTGTGAGTGTCCAACTTTAGTCTGTTTGTAGTATTAATTTGAGTTTGTACAAAGTCATATTTGTAAAATCGTATCGAAATGAAATTTTGAAAATACTTTAAAATGAGGCCTAGCTTAATCATAATGAGATTTTCATTTAAAAAATGGAAATTAGTTTAGACATTGTACATTTATGTCTTTTTCAAGGTGTATTGGGCCCTACTTTGGCTTTAAACCTCACCGTCTGTTTTTTAGCATGCAAATAATGATTTTATCTAAACCAAAAAAATGTTTAAACCGCTCCCCCTCCCGAAAGAACAATGTGAATCAATCATGCCTTACCTTTCAATAAAACAAATCTGTTTTAGAACACTGTTTACTGATAAAAAAAAACTTATGGATTAGTATGTTTCTACTTCAGCATCTTCATAATCTTTTACAAACATTTGCTACTAAATCCATTATTTAAACTTACCCCCAATAATTCCATCATAATAGACAAGACCGGAAAATGTATTATTACATGAAGAATTATTGTAGATATTATACGAAGCATAAAAACACAAGATATGACAAATACAAGTTTTCTTTTAGAAAGGAAAATTTGCAAACATTTCGGGTCAGGTAGAGGTAAAGTTAAGCCCCAAAGTTAAGCCCCGAATAAATTAGGAATTGATTGATAGAAATTTATCTCAAGTTTCTTTTTCTTTATTCCAACAACTTGTCTCTTCATTCAAAATGGCATGGACCAGCTTCTTTTCAAAAGACACTGAATCAGCGAGGAATTCTTTTCAGACCACAATCGTACGACCTGTAACAAATTTTTATGGATATTTCTTGTGGCAAGAAGAGAATAGGAAAGTAATTTATTTGTGGTTTGGCCTGGTGTCGCGGTTTGTGAAGTTAATTTAATCCTTGGTAGAACATCGCCTGACATCACCCAGGTCACTTGAACCTGAAGCTATCTTTTTATTTTCAAATTTACTAAACGATTTGATGTTTTGTTATGTTTCTACTTCAATGTAACATTACTTCATGTTCTCTTTATTCTTGCTATGCTTTTTGTAAATCCTGCAAATTGTTATCGAATTTTAAAAATTTTAATCTAGAAAAGGTTTTTTTCCCAGGCCTGATATTTAAGCTAAAAGGGATTGGGTATCTTTGGCTCAGGTGTTAAAATATATCCTGGATTTAGCTCATGCTGCAATCATAATTATAAACCTCCAGGTCAGTCAGGCATCCCATGACTTTTACAAGCCGATCGCCTGTCTGATTATCAAGATATTTAAGATTGGACTTAGAAATTTCAAAAACCGATTCCCAAACGGTTTTTATAACTCTACAGTCTATTGGGAATAACGAGTATGATAAAACCGGTCACTCAAAGATTCTTACTTTTTTGTGATTCTTCATGATCATTTTGAAATGCAATTTTTTAGGGCTTCAATATTACACCATATGACATTCACTGATAACACATAGGGCCATGCATCTCAGATTTGTACATCTGGAAACGTTGTTAAATGATGCCTTTAACAACAAGTACCTGCATTATGGACTGTATCTGATCATCACACGAATGTAAAAATGGCGTACGGTGGGCTGACCCCAACGTGACTCTTCTCCTTCATTTAAGCGGCATGTTCGATGGCGAGGTGCTTAAAAAATAAGTGTTGAAATTGGAACACACTGTTTTATGACGTCGATTTGGTGTTAGACAATAAATTTCATTTTTATCAATACTACGTCATTCTCCGCCTGCAGGTCCGTAATAGTTTTTCTTCAAGGCAACATTTAAACGATAAAATGGTGTGTGGACAAGACATCGGGTAACTTGTTATCCTTTTCCTTTGTATTTATTTAGATCATCGTATTTACTCCTTCGTTGATATACTTTTCTATGAGTGTCTCTGTGTTTCTCTCTCTCTCTCTCTCTCTCTCTCTCTCTATCTCTCTCTCTCTCTCTCTCTGTCTTTCTCTCTATCTTTCTCTGTCTCTGTCTCTATCTTTTTCTCTCCTCTACCTCCACCTTACGTGCAAGATTTTTGAACCCTTCTCTCTCTCTCTCTTTTTCTCTGTTTTCCCAATCTCATTTTCTCATTGTTTTGTGATCATATCTACCCCCTCTCTCTCTTTCGTTTTCTCTTTCTCTCTCCTTGTCACCCACCCCTTTTTCTTAAACTCCCTGGCAATCTCTCCGACTACAATCGCGCTCTATCTCTGACTCGTTATCCCTAACTCAGTCCGTTTCATTCTGTGATTTTCTCTATCTCCCTAATTATGATCTTTTTAATTCTCTCTATCTATCCTTGCATTAATCTCCCCCTGGTTATATGCCTCCCCGTCTCTCTCTCTGTCTCTCTCTCTCTCTCTCTCTCTTTCTCTCTCTCTCTTTCTCTTTCTTCCTCTCTCTCTCTCTCTCTCTCTCCCCCCACCCCTCTCTCTCTCTATATCGTTGTTACAAAATTCCTCGTATCTCTCTTTTTCTCTTTCTTTTAATTGGTATTCATTTTCTCATTCCTCTATTTACTTAATTAGAAAAAGATGGTTTACATAATCATCATTCTCATGATATTACCACACCGTTTTTTCTCTCTCGCTTTCCAGGCATAAATTTAAACTAAAATACCAGGTTCACAAGTCGTTGGAAATCAATACAATTGTAAAATTCGAATTGCTTTTAACGACTGAAATTCGTGTCAATAATAAATATGTATCGACGTATTTTCCTTTTTTATTACATAGTTTTCATTTCAAAGTACTAAACTTCATCGCCGAACAATCAAACGATAAGAAAGATTACAATATCTTACAAACTGTACAAACAGATAATCAACTATGAGAAAATGGAAATGCACATGTATTCGCAATCATTCAATCAATCAGCCACTATCCAATTTTCAAGGATTTCAGAAGCGATGGGATACAAAAGAGCTAATAATAGCAATAAATGAGGAACTATTTTAAAGAATTTGTCTTCTGTCCAAAAAAGCTGATGACATCAACATGTTATGTAAGAAAACTACATGAGGTACAGTGAACGGATATGGATAATGGAGAAACATAAGGAGAAGGAGAGAGGGGACAGAAAACAAAAAAGAGACATGTATTGCAAATACCTGCAAGGTAATCAACAGGGATTTTTGGATGTTACCCAAGATTGAATGAAAAGAAATTAATTAGTGATCAATTATAGCAACATTTCTCTCTAACGGTACAAATAGTTAACAATTCTTCCTTTCTAACCTTTCTAAATCATGAAATATATGTTAGGTTACTCTTCGATACGACAGAAATGAGATTTTCGGCTCAAAGCTCCTAAAACAATAATCACATTTTCGATGGTCATTTCATATCTACCGTAGAAAGAAACACACATCATGTTATTTAAAACCTACACCTAATGGCGTCTCGAACGAAGAATACCAATTGATTTACCAAATCAAGATAATCAAGAAATGCGGAAGATCCCGAAATTGAATTCCATTTCGAATCTCCACTTCGGGAAACAGAGCCGAGGAGAAACGCACTCCCCTGCATTTTGCTGGCTGAATCCTTAATTGTACCTAGCCGTACCGGTGAGCGTTAAGAGAGGGGAAAACGGATGTTATTTTGTATGCTGTTACATGATGGAATAGCTAGGTGGGTTATTTCAGGTCAGGCGAGAGTAAATAGATTTAGAGCTTTTGATCGATTCTCGTTTGGAGTAGAATGTTTAATGGGATTCCTCTTTTTTGCTTCTCTCAAACAGCATCAGGAACATGGGCGGTATCACTCAATACCAAATGGGGCAGAGAGAGAGAGCTTTTTTTCTATTACAAGAATTTTGATTAATTATTAAGTTTTTTCTTTTATTTTCATTTTGCTATGGGCATTTCACGGGCTCATCTCCGTGTAAAATGGCATTTATCTACCTATTCACGTAGAAGAAAATAATTAAGTTTCCAAAAGCAATCTCGGAATTTTACATATTCATTTCGTTTATTTTTGTGCTACATGAGCTGAATACAATGTTTAAGACCATAAAAAGCCAAACATATTTATCTCTGTTTTTAAGAAATGGCTACACAAGTCGTAGACTACATTTTCCATTAAAAATAAATTTTGGGGGAAATATTATTTGCTCTATAATAGAACTGCAATTCTTTAACTCGTATGTTAAATATTCCACCTTTTAATTTTCCTTATTTGTATTTCTCTGGTACTGCCTTAGTTAAGCACCATTCCATAATAAACGGATTTTGAGTGCAAAATATCGTAGAGTCGATAGAGGAATTGCTTCACTGATTAAAGACAAACATTCCTTATCTTCCAGCCAAACATACCAAAACTATCATCATCCCGAGCCCTTTCATCCCAACATTGCGAATGTTTGTTGGCGCCTGCTTCAAGTATTACCCTTACACCATTATTTAATGTATACTTCCCTTGAGTCGCCATTATCATCCACACTGTGAGTCAATAGCCCAACCCAATATACCCATTAAACTGTCGAGTGTAATTTGGAACAATTTGAGCAGGACTCACACACATACGCACACGCACACACACATAACGCACACAAGCTAGATATTGTTTCAGCAGTACCGAAAATTTCCCCGCCGATGTGCGGTTTTGACATGTCTTATTTTCAATCGGCCGTCTCTCCCTCTTTCCCATTTAGCATCAAGGAACAAAATCTATGACCTGGTGGACGTATGATAAGAAAGCCTGGCGATCTGGAGAAGCAAAATAAAGATTGAGGGAATGAAGATGGATAGTGATTGGCTACCTTACACCGCACTTTTTGAAGGCCGCGTCTTGTCCGCTAACCAGTATCTTCTCAAATCGAATGCAATCCACTTTGCGTAGATTTCATTTTTACACGTTTGATTTTTGTTTTTGTCTTTTCTTTTTTCCGGGTGGTCCATTTCTGAAAAGCCTTCAGTGGTTTATTAAATGGCTTTCATATAAGCGAGAAAAAGAAAAAAATGATCTGGCGGTGTTTGAGACTTGTGCCTTTGCCTTAGACATTTTAGATATACCTAATTTGTAACAAAAACAAATTAGCTGCTGTATTAGGGATCGTTGACTACTTTTCAATCAGTATTATTTTGAGTTCAATCATAATGTTTACATTTATAACAATACTCTTAATGTACTTTTTGAAGTATTCGATAACAGTTGCTTATAATTATGATGATTTCCAAATGTCACTTATCTACCGAAGAGGTTAAACTATTGAAATTTGCAGAACTCACGAAATATATTATTTAATCACTAAGCATTACAAACATTATTGAGCTTTTTTTTTTTAGAAAATTGGATATTCCTTTATATGGAAAACATTTTTGAAATAATTCCAATTTTTGTTCACGTTATTCACTGCAGGTGTCATAGTAATTTTAAAGGGTTGCTTGTAGAATTTGGAGATCTGGGATATATTGCATAAAGAGTTACAATGTATATTCCAAACCTTTACCTTGCAATAGGTTGAACATATTTGGCAACGTTTGGTAATAATTGGCGGTACATTTCATCGTATTGTGTACAATCATCAGTACTTACATAATCGTAAAGGCCGGAATCCACAAATTTGACAAAGTAGATTTAAACCTGAACTATGTTGTAAACCATCGATTTGCCATCGAGCAGCAAAAGGATCGATAATAAAAATGGACGAAAAGACACTATGAACATGAAGGATGCAATTTATGTCTTTACGAGAAGAAAAAGCGGCAAAAATATTTTTGAGTTGATTCTTTTAATTCGGTGAATAAAAGTGTGGCATGTTGTGGGTTCAATGATACATATCAAATACGGGGGCAGTGACTTAAATGATAATCATTATTTCTGAAGTTAGATATCTGAGAAAGGAAATGATACTTTTTTGTAGCCTTTTACTACATTTGTCATCAAATAATCCACATGAACAGGTGAATGGTCGTGAAGATACTATAAATTCTTTAATCAACCTGCAAGATAATTCTGCTATGATGTACAATTCTCTGGTGTTTGAATTTGTTTTTCCTTGATTCACCAACTCTTTCCTCTTTCTCGAAGTAACTGACATCAAAAGCTACGTCTTTAAGCTTTTATGTATATATAAATATAATTAAATACCTACGTTTTCTATCCGGCGTTTTTAAACAATCGTAAAGGAGGACAAATCAGGTTTTCCATGTAGCCATGGCCTAAGGGAAATTGTAAGAGTCTAAAAACAGCTGGATATTGTTTTCATCCTCGAATGTATTTAGGCATTTCAAGCATGCTCTCTTTAAAATAGAAAACAAAAAACTGAACGGAGTTGAAACGGATCTCAGCATGTTTAGCGGCAAACAGCTATAGGGATTACAGTTTGTGACATGAATATTGATTGAACAACTACATTTTAGTATGTACACAGCATGAAAATATAACAAATAAATGCAAATGGTGCGAAATGGTGCTGAAAGAGAGGGAAACTACGGATTACTATCGACTCTACCTAAAAGTCACATACTGCCGGTGAGAAATAGCCGGTCTGTGGATACACACCGCCTGCGGACAAATAATCCATCATTCGGTCGCCATTTTGGTGCGCTTCTGCCTTTGCATGTGACCGCCTGAGGGTGTTGGTGTCTCGTGGCTCCGTCGCCTTGCTTGTCCTCCTCTGCCTTTGACCACGTTTCGGCACCGTGCTCGGCGCGGTGGTTCAGCCGCGTTCCCTCGTGAATGGTCGCTTGAGTTGCACCACGGCTGGCTGTAGTAACTGTCGCTGCCTTGCCGATCCGTCTGTGTTCCCATTGCCATCTCACTCTCCTTCCATCCATTTTAATGGGCCATTTGTTTTATTGAAGAATCTTTATTATTCATTAAACATCAAGACCCTCTATCTTGGGCTAGTCTAGCTATGACGCGACGAGATCAAACAATCGGGCTGACGTGCAAGAACGCTCCCTGTATCCATCACCCATGACTCAACTCTAGACATTTCTGAACTTTTTTCAATAAATACCAAACTATCCCGCTGTCTCCGCGATCAATAACATGACTGCTGAACAATTCAATTTACGCTTAATCATCACTACAGTACACTGAGGTTTCCTTTCCAATCTTTTTTACCTTTTTTTAAAATCAATGTACAAGATATTCAATAACTTTGATTTAGTTTATTATTATCACAAGACGGACAGAAAGAAAAATGTTTATCGACAATATCATACAAGTGGTTAACGTGGTCCAAAGTCTATCTGTGCTTTACTCAAATGAAGTCCATAGAACTCACCGCAGTAAAACCGACCATCACCGGCAGTGCGACGTCATAAGTTCAAGTTCCCAAAGCGACGCGCTGGCGTAGTATCAGCGCATAACCGAGGGCGGTGCTACCGTCGCGCCGGCGAGGTTAGCTGCCGCTTCTTGACTGATAAGCTGTGAGATACTCTTCACATTATGCTCCTTTTTCCACTTCATCCTCCTGTTTTGGAACCAGATTTTATTTGTCGTTCCGTCAGGCCGAGTGCGTGTGCGATCTCGATCCGTCGTCGTCGTGTGAGGTACCTGTTGAAATGGAATTCCTTCTCTAGTTCGAGCGTTTGGTAACGGGTGTATGCCGTGCGGGATCGTTTGCTCGGTTCTGTACCATTCTGTGCCGCCGCTGGAAAATAAAAACAAATGAAAAGAAGAAGAAAACATTTATTTAATCATAGAATTTAAGTTTTAATAATGAACCAAACAAACATATATTACAATTCCATGGTCTCCACTGATAGTGATACGTATGCAAAGAATAGGACATCAGACATAGACAACGTTACATTACGTTGTCTTGATAACATTTATAAAGCATATAAAGCATGAAATATTAGGTGGAAAGTAGAAACTTGTATTGGTTGTAATAATTCGAGTCACATTCGTATAGCGCTTAATACGTTTATAAGCAATTTACATTGTAATGATTATTACCCCGGTCAGTGGATTAAATTGGTCATCCGCACATTATAGTATACACGATCCGCTCCCTGGGGAGTATTCCGGCCAGGCGCCATTTTACAAGCGCACATATGCCAATCCAACCACATTAACGTTCGCATCCTACCGTGTACCTATTTAACACCTGGGTGGAAATTGGCAAGTTAGATTGTTGATGTTGTTTGTTTTTTTGTTTTGAATGTTAATTGAAGAAAAAAAACTGCAGCTATCAATCAATACCCTTTCAGTGAATACTCCTACAACTTTTGAGGGAAATATCGTTTTGAAAACTAGTTTAGATGTAAATTCAATGTGTATGATTAGGATGGTAGTGAGTTAATACTTATGATCGCAGCTAAATCAGTTATGTCTGTCTAATAGACTTCTACAAGAAGATGGATTTAATCATGATTAGTTCCGTTGCATTTGATATTAAACAGTATCATGTTTTCAAATGGAATAAATAGTTTTGTGATATGTCCATATTTAAGTTTCGCACTATCGAAGTTAATATGACAATTGCATTGTTTGGCGAAATGTATTTAAAACGTCTACTGTCACTAAGTTTTCACTATTTATGATTTTCAATGATTTACTTTTTCTATTGTTTGTTCAATATTCTTCTTCTTCTCCTTTTCTTCCTCCTCCTTATCTATTCTTCTTCTTCTTCTTCCTACTCTTCTTCTTACATTTTCTGGTCATCGTCTTCTTCTTTCTCACCTTGCTCATCTTCCAGTCTACTAATCATCTAATGAGCCTACTCATCATTTTTCTTCTTTATATTTGGGTATTTAAAATATTTTTATTCAATCGAACAAACATTTAAAAAAATACACTTACATGTACATCGTCTGATCACATTCATATTAAAGGATCAGTTAGATTTTTTTTGATAAATGCAAGATAGCGAATATAATTTTTTGTTTTAAAACATAATGAGAACAAAACTATAAAAAATAAAAAATAATATTGTGAGAAATTAATGATATGAATCATTACGAACATAATACACAAAATTTGTAATGCACTACTTTAAACATTCTATTATATATTTCCAATTTCAAGATGATTATGATGTTATTTGTTTTGTTTGGACGTTTTCTTGTGTTTTTATTTTATTTATGCATTACTTTTCATCAGAAGGAAGGGCGGATACATGATTCAATATTCATTACTCCCAGTATTGGTTCGCAACATTTTGTATTTTGATTATCTTTGATATTTCTCGATGATTTTTTAATTTGATGTTAAACATTAAAAGGAACAAATAAATTGAAATTATTTCCTATCATACCAGAAGAAAAAACAATTCACGTAAGAAATGGACTAGGCTATCTAGTTTAATACTCGGGGGTAACAGCGTGTGAGTGCAGTAATTGCATTTCTAAAGGACAAGACATGATATGCATTATATACCTGTCAACAATGCTAAAATTTAGAATGATGAACATTTTCCGAGTAAGTTTAGCCAACTTGTCCGACCTTGAATGTTGATTATCTCTATACAAAATTATATTTTCCAAGTGCCTTTTCACTTGCGCTATATACCGAACATCAATGTAGAGGTCTAGACAAAATGATGAAATGAATTATAAATTACGGATGAATTGACTAACTTCGATGTTGGAGCGACTATTGCCTCGCTAGAATTCCACCGATCGGATCAATTTTTATGATGCCTCTCCGCTGGGAGTTGCCCTTCGGTAATCACCCCCAAGACACCAATTCATTTCATTTAATTTCGTTTTATTTCATTACGCGAGTGGCAATATATACAAAGAATAGCACGGGCAATTTCATTCAATATGAGCAAAAACAAGCCACGTTGCCCTCTTTTTCTCCCACTCTCTTACATCTACCCCCCCCCCCCCCCCCCCCCCCCCCCCGCGAAAATGATAAACTGGGGAATAATCTATGTATTATAAAAACAAAAGAGAGACGGAAAGAGTTTACCATGCCAACACACAAAACTGACCAAAAAATGAGAGCCATGTTGATTGATTGTTGTCAAAGTTTTATTGATCTGCTGGATCTATATATCTGGTGCTTAATGAATATAATGTCATCTGTTGCTTGGAGAAGAACGATAATGGTAGGTGAAAACGGCGAAGGAGCTCAAGCAGCTAATTTGATGGACCAACATAAAAGAGACACGCGACCGTGCCGCCCCGCTTGCTGCGGTAAACACACTGCCCGTCAGCGGACTCCTGGCCCGATGATCCCCGTGGTTGGGCCATCGCGAACCGAACAGGCCATAAAGGACGGTGGACATTGCTATGATTATCAAGTCGTAAACGGTTTCGGACAACGGGTATCTATTTTGAAACTCATATCTCGGATGAAAAACAAGCAATATAATTCTTTAATTGTATCGAATATTGTGTTATTTCTCTGTTTCATTTGCGCATCACATTTTTAAAGGACAGTTTCAAATATAATTGCTTCCACTCGTGAATTTTACTTTTAGAATGGATACCTGTCTAAACTTAAATTGAGGATTTTGTTCGAAAGACACAGAATTGCAATATTCATAACACTTACTTTATGATAATTTTTTACAATTATTTAATAAAATGGCATTATAAAACGTAAAAACAGCTCACTTTTCAAGTATTTGATGAATGTTCCTCAAGAACCCCCAGGTGTCAGATGTTGCGAATGCACTTTTTGTTTCAATAACTAATTTTTTTACTGTACACATATTTTACGATGTTTAATTTTCAAAAAACTTCGTTTATATCTTTTCTCCTGTAACAAACTATATATATTAATTTTAAATTCTGTTCGGCTTTTTCTAAATCCATGAAAAATATACTAGGTCAAATTTGAAGATTTATTTTAAAAAAAAGCTATTTTTCTTCTCTTTCTCCATCTCTCTCTTTATCTCTTCATATTCAGCTTAACCTATTTTCACGTTGAGAGTATATAGGACCAACGAAACTCCCCTCATCTAATCAGACTCAATCACAACAGAAAGTGCATGCCTTCTACAAAAATACACAGGGACGGAATCAGAAGTGATCTCTTTCGACTAAGGAAGAAATATGAAATCCACACGTCTTGCACCAGGAGATTGTTTAAGTCAAATTCCAATGGAATCTTTAAGATGTCACCAGAATATTGGCAAATAGATTGGTCTGCCTCAAAAGGATGAAGAAAAAAAACGCGGGTAAACCGGGAGAAGAAAAAAGGGAAACGCACTTTTTGCGTTGATAGAGTGAAGCATGATAAATTAGGAAATAGATTGCTTTTCTAGCCTTAGCAACCATGTGCATGCCTTGTCCTTTTGTCCGTTTTATTTATTGTTCCTTTTTTCAACTTTTTTCTTCGTAGTTGCGTCTGAGAGAGGTTGTCTCAGAGATGCGGCATCCCATGTGCTACACAGATCTACATATTGAAAGGAGAGTTACCATAGTTTTATGGCTCAATCTAGCTGTCTCCGTGGTCTTGTGGTGATTTTCAAGTGTTATCTAAGCAATTTTTGTGAATTAAAAAAATAATAATTTATTTCGATATATGTCTAACTAATTATCTGGAAATGCATAATTGTATTCCATTGAATATGTAGTCGCAATGTGTGTGCTTAATCAAGCCATGGAGTACAACGAGCTTGATCATGCAAGCCTTCCTTTGTCAATGCAATAAAGATGCAAAACGGGAAATTTTAAATATTAAGTTGTACATAATTATCTCAATCATGTTATTTTTTCTAATGACTGTGAGGTCTGTATTCTACATTGAAGAAATAGAACATTATATAAAACAAAATAATATTATGTTATCGTATAAAAGACTAAAAGGGTATAATCTAGCTCCAATATTGGTACCACAATTTACATATAGCTACTTCTCAAATACAGTGTAAGTTTAGTGGCACACGAATGATCTAAAAATCATCTATTCTAGATGTCCTCGTTTTGATGGTTAGACAATATCCTTATGGTATCCTGTAAATGTGTGTAAAGCAAAAATCCAAGGCTCCGTTGCTCTTGCATTGTAAATGAATTAGCAAAATACAATGCAACCAGCATGCAACCAAAGAGAGTGGAAACCGCTAAAATAAGTCATGTGTCAAAGAATTTAATTGGTATACGATAAATGCGGGTAATATTTATGATAGGGAAAAACCGCTTGAGAAAAAAAATATGCTGTAATATATTTCACCTTACACGAGAAAGAGTAGCAAAATATTTATAAAAAATAAAAGTATATATATATATATATATATATATATATATATGATTGTATTACACCGCCTAGTGTCGTTCAGAAATTCGTTCATAAATTGAATTTGTATCACAAAGTAAAATGTTGTATATATACTCTATTCAGCTGTGGTTTAAAAAAAAACTATTAATATTCCGCGCATTATTGGTTATTTCTAAGAATTGGATGGGGGATTCTTGTTTAAATGTTTAACTATTCATGTATTAGTGCATCACACTCGATAATGACTGTTCTGTAATTTGTGCAGTCATTGTACCAATTATAGTAGTACATTAAAAACTACTTCAGGGTAATGATCATGATGATTTGTTTTGTATCAATGTATGCATCTATGCCATTCATCGTTCCAAATGTAACGGGTGTTCATGATGGACGTTATTAAGGTCTTTTCCCCAGAGAAAAAAAACATTGCAGGCGACGAGTGAACATTGTGGCGCAGTGTCCGCCATACCGACAATA